ATATCTCTTAGTAGTTATCTTTTAAACTACCAAAACGTTCAATAGAACTAATTGAAAACAGTTCACCGCGAATTCGCTACAGTAAACAACAGCTGTTTTCTAAACAAAACTCCGAATTGAGAGGTTTTTGATCCCGCTTTTATAAGCTTTTTAATCAGCACGAGCATAGTCTGGTATTTTCTCGATTTTTACCGAAAAGCAAAAGCGTACGTTACGAGATATCTATTTATTAAATGTGCGTGCTCTTGTATTTTTAATTTTTTCTGCATAGCTTTCTCTTCAAATAAGTCGCGTGCAGCATTGCACGGGGAAAAGAATTTCTAATTTAATTATTACAATTCTATTAAAAACAGCAAACTAAATAAATGAATACAAAAACCGTAACAATACAATATATTTGCAGCTCTAATAGATGGACAAAATCCTTGTGTGTTATTTACTTCGTATTTTTCCCTTCAGAGACTTTTAAAGATCATTTACAAATCTTAACAACTTTGATATTGAGATTCAATAATTATTCAACAGTTATTAATGGAGAAATGAATTGTAAACATTCATTATAAACTAAACTCAGTGGGGCAACAGCCCTAGTGGGCAATGGCCTACAGTGCCCTTTTTCTGCTTTCTTGACCTTAGGACCCCAGAGTGCATCAGTATATGTCCTGGGCAAGTGGTCAGCTTGTCACAGGACCCCCGGGTGTTTAGTCCCAAAGAGAACTTGGTACTCATTTTATCAACCCACTGAAGGGCTGATTCAACTTTTCCCAGCACAGGAATCGAACCCCGGACCAAACATTCCCTATGGGGGACAAGAAAGAAGGACAGCAAAGGAGAAATATTAACAGTTTTTCTCTTTACGATAGACTTTTGATGAATAAGTATGATCTTCTGATATTTAGCTCCACTTTGGGGAGTTCTTGGACTGATATAACAGCCTCGAGGGCTATAGGAAACTTAAAAATTTCAAATTGGAAAGTTCTTGAAGATATAAATTGTAGAAATCATAAATAAGATAATTTGGGAAACTTATATTGAAGCAACAGAAAAGAAAAATTATTCCCCATAACGGAACATAGACTTGAGTATCAAAAGAAAGCAAGTTCGGGCACTTAGGAACAAAATTTCAAAGTTCTCAGGAATGTTACAGGGTAGAGAATACAGTTAATTATAAAAACTTCCCTACAATGGGAAAAATAAACACCAAGCTAAAGAAAATTATTAGAAAAGTATATGGGACAATATAACGATTCATAGTCCCTTTGACACTCATTTTAAAACTGCAAATGACAAACATATCAATATTGCACTTTTTTTAGAAATAAAAAAGAATGATAGTATAATGTCCGATAGCATCAGAGAAGCAATGAAACCAATCAAGGACTTTCATTTAAGATAGATGAAAAAGAAAATGAAATTCATAACAAAACTCAAAAATTGGCAAGTGAAATTCTAAAATGGGAAAAAGATATTCCTTTGGAGTTCCAGGAAATTCTCCACGTTTTTGAGAATATGAGAAGAAATAAGGCTCTAAGACTCAATGGAATTCCTTTGGAATTGTTTCAAAAACTTTGGTTTGTGAAGGAAAATTTGACTACTAACCTGCTTAATAGATGTTTAGGAGAGGATTTTTTTTTTCGAATGCTTGGAAAAACGCTCGTTTAATTCTATTTTCAAAACCAGCCAAAAATCCAACTAATATTTCGGCATTATAGACCTATATGTTTATTGTGCACTTTTGGGAAAGTTCTGAACAAGTTGATTAATGATAGATTATGCTTTCATTTGAAAAATAATAAATTATTGAATGAAACCAATATGGATTTACTTCCGGAAAAGATGAAAATGTAAAAATAATTGTGGGAAAAAATAAAAAGAATAATTTACATATCACATTGATATTAACAGATATTATAAATGCATTTAACAAACTTTGGTGGTCTAGTGAAAAGGGGAATCTACTTAGATTAGTTCTGGATCCTACTCTATGGAATCTGATTGCAGATACAGCCTTGAAACTAAAATTTGGTGAGAGAAATAAAGTTACAATCTTATGCTAATGACTTTGTGTTATTTATTTCAGGAGGAAGCAGATTAGTAACAGAAGACAGGGCGAGAAAGGCTTTGAATATTTTCTCTTAAATGGAGTGATGAAAATAAGTTGGAAACCAGTGATAAAATATCTATATCTTTTCCTAAAACGTTGACTTTAGCCTGTCCACTTATAGTACCAGGGAAAAATAGGATTATTATTAGTAGAGAGATGATTAAATATTTGAGAATACTATGGATACAAACCTTAGTTGGATTCTACACCTGACAAATGACAAATTAAACATATATAAAATCAATACATTAAATAGATTGATAAATGAAGACAATTATAGAAATAAATGTGTACTTAAAGAATTGTATAAAAGAGGAATAAAAAGAATCATTCTACATGGTGCTCCCATGTGGTGGAATGGGAAAGAAAAGACAAGTGTTAAACTGTTACAAATTCGAAAAGTGGCCTTACTATCTATTACTGAATGCTACAAGACAGTATCAACAATAAGTGGGAGTTAATCCCCTTGACTTAAAGGCAGACTTAGAAGTTCAAGCTTACTTGGCACAATGTATGGAAAGAGATATAATTTATGGTGGTTTAATTGTAAATCAAGCAAATATTGATATAAAAGAAGATAAATATAATTGTCATCCCACAAAAATAAAGAAAAATAGGAAAGAAATATTCCACAATGATGTTGCTTAAATTTTTATTGATGGATTGGTGTTAGATGAGAAAGCAGGAGCTACTTTCGTAGCTTACTATAATGAATAGAAATGTGAGGACAAAGGTTTTTAGATTAAATAGAAAAAGTAAAGTTTTGGAGGCTGAATTATCAGCCTTCAAAGACACTTTAGAATAGACCTGGATAGAAAAAAGGGATTTGGCAAACTGTGTTTCAACCTATACTGATCCCCAGAGTGTGCTGAAAACATTAAACTTCACATAATGTCTGACTAGAAAGATAATTGAAGTAAGAAACAAAACTGGAGATATTTTAGAAAAATATAACTTGAGAGTAAACTGGGTAAAAGGTCGCACAGGTACATTGGGAAATGAGGCAGCCAACAATACTGCAAAAGAAGCAACAAAGAAGGACATTACAGATATTTTCTCCACAATCTCAACAGATTACATAAAAATGTTATCAAAGTATTCGTCGTGTGATTCGTCAAAGTGATTCGTCGGACTCTGGGTTTCAAATTCTAAATGATGGTGAATTTATTAAAAGTGTGAGAGAAGAAAGTGTTGAAGAAGATGACCTTAATGTCGAAGTTGAAGCAGACACGGGACCATCAGCTAGTGAAGCATTTGCCTGCCTTGAAACAGCATTAAAGTGGATGGAGCTTCAGCCCGAGTGTGACCACATGGCACTTCTCATTGTCAAACAGATGGGGATCCTGGCTGCCTGAAAATGGATGAGAGAGTCAAAAAGCTTAATTTCCCTGAGACGTCCAGCAAGCAATGACTTTCAGCACTTGTAAGTACTGTATAGTATGCAATATAACTAAAAAAAATTAAATGTACAGGTGATTTGAAATATTATATAATGTTTTGAAATATATATATATATATATATATATAAAGTGATACTTAAATATGTAAAATTTCCATTTGTGAAAATTGTCAAAGAAAATTATTTTGCTGTTATTACTATATATTATAAATATATTATGTTGTATTTATTCAGAATAAAGGTCGAGATGATCCTGCTGGCGACACCAGGGAAACTTCCTTGGAGGACGAGTTTACAGGAAGTTGCTCAGTATTTTAATTTAGTTAGGTTTCTTTTTTGTTTCATAGGTATGATTTGTTTGTTGATTAGGTTATTTTAGGTTCCCCTTTGGATCATATTCCTTTCATTAGGAAGGGGAATACTATTCTACCTCTTCATTCTTTTTAATTAATCTTTTGTCAATATTTTTTTTCAATAAAATAAACTGCAGCTTTTATCATTAGTTTATTACAGCATTACATAATTTTATAAAAATTTTAAGTTATCTAGTAAAGTTTTGTACATAAGTACACAAATATAGATTTTAAAGATACGCATGGCAAATTTGAAAGAAGCATCACATGCCTACTTTAGCCATTTACTTCATAAAATTTTAAAATTATAAATCTCTAACAATATACTTAAATCAGTGAAGAGTTAAGTATATATTTGAAAAGTAGCATCTGTGTTTTCAAATTACACTGGCAATAAGGTATGATGTATTTTTAAACAGAAATTTAGTAGTGCAAAATTGACTTATATGAAATTAAAACTTCAGAAAATATGAAAAGAGATTATGACATAATATTAAAAAAATTGCAGAAAAATATAAAGTGAGATTACAGCATAATATACAAGGGGGGGGGACCTGAAAGGTTTCAGATTTTAAATTACGTCCAAAGGGGCACTTTAAAAAAAAAAATGTTTTTTAAACATTTGTGTTGCCTTTACTTATTAAATATCATGCTCTTCACACTTAAACCATAAAATTCAGTTCAAGAGAGCAATATTGCCAAATAATTTAAAATTGAGCATATCTTTAGAATTTCCGATACAGTCTCCCGCGCTGGAGATAAAAATGTTTTTTCGGTACTACATTGCCATTTCTCGCTTTGAAATCCTTAAGTTTGTTAATAAAAAATTCGTTAAGTTTTACAAAATATGAAATCGATAATAAAACAAATTCCAAATTTGAGCTATCATATATGCCCACATTTGCAGTAGGATTATGTTATTCAAAATTTGATGGATCTAAGTATTGTTTTATCACAATGCGAGAAACATACATACATTTATGCAGATTCTTCATTATTCAATTTCTTCAAATATGATACAGGGTGATAATATTTGGTGGCAATAGTTTGAAAAGTGATACAGCCATTTATGGTGTTTAATCGCAAAATGAAAACAACAGTCCCTCGGGAACAAAGCCCCTTTGGACTAAAAATTGTGCCCAAATATAAAAGAAAATTATTTTATTAAAAACATAAAATATCACAGTAATGACTAAAATATTTATAAGAGTAAAAATATTTCTCTCAATGTCTTAGTTCACGCATTTCAGTCGTGTGATTTCTGTTTCTAGTTCTTTCACTTTTGCCTTCAATTGTTCAATCTCTTTATCTTTCTTTGCGAATTCTTCCACTTTTACTTTCAGTTGTTCTAGTTCTTTCACTTTTGCCTTCAACTGTTCAATCTCTTCATCTTTCTTTGCCAATTCTTCCACTTTTACCTTCAGTTGTTCTATCTCTTCATCCTTCTTAATTAGTGTATCTTTCAACTGTAAATCCTTCTTCTGAAATACAAATAATCCATAAACTGGACATAAGTAAAATACAACAAAATTCTGATTATCCACAAATGACTAATCTGCATTCAATTTTGAATATAGGTAAATAAAATTTCACAAAATTGAGCTTGGCAAATTTAATGCCAATTTTTTACAAGTATATGAAAATACAAAATAAACTATATTTATAAATAATATCACTATATTTATAAATAAACTATATTATTTACATAGAAGAAGCAAATTAATTTTATTATTGAAGTTACTTTGCATTTCCTGCACCTTTGGAAGCAAGTTCTACTGTCTCATAACATTTTAAGTTTGAAATTATTAGACTAATTTAAAAATTCTATGGCATATGTCAAGGACCAACTTTTCAAACATTGCATTCAAATGGAACAATTTCAGATATTTCAGCACTAGCTTGTTTGTTCACATTCCACACAAACATTGATGGCAAGTTATGTTACCATTGCTGAAAACAGTACTTTTCTTGTCATACAATGAATTGAGGAATTTTGTCATATAATGCCAAATTTTTTGTAACCATTAATAAAAATATACATGCATGGAAAGCAGAGGTTGAATTCAACTAGGAATTAAATTTAGGGATACTATTCCTGATAATAGTATAATTTCCCCCATCGTTTAAAAGCATAAAAATTACTTTGAAAGTAATCTGTTTGGTAGACATATAATGTTTTTACATAAAATTCTTCAATCCACTTTTACCTCCTCCAAAATGTGTTCTTACCACTCCATTACATTTACTCCATTTTTATTTAATGTGTAATTAATTATATCAAAATCCATATTAATTTTGTCTTCAATGAATCCTGTTTAAATAATTTATCAGTATGTTTTGGTTAATTTATATGCAAATAATACAGGTATAATCTAAAAATTAGGAAGGGGAAAATGCAAATGAAAATCATAATCCAAAAAACTTATTGGTCACAGCTTCTGGATCCAAGGCATGCGGATTATCTGAATTCCACTGTATTTAGAAACTACTGCGTTAATATACAATACTGCGTTAGCATACTGCAGTCATGAAATATGTAAGAAAAATACTGCTGTTTGAATTTAACTATTGTAGATCAAAGTTAGAATGACTATTACTAAGTTTATAACTATTCCAAGATTATAACAATTAGCAGCTCTATTAAGATACAAATGCATTGCTATTGTTAAAGAGATTACAGAGCTCAGATTGTAAAACTGAGTTTTGGGTGTAATTGCTGTTGTATGAACTTAAATTACATAAAAAAATTGAACAGAATATCTTTGTTAGTGACAGGCTGGTTCCTAGAATTCCTTAAAAATTTTAAAACCCATTATGAAAATTAGGTAACATCATTAACTAATATATAATTTCAATTGCACACTTTACTTAGAATACTATAAAATTTCATTACAAATTAATACCTTTTCCAATGATTTTCACGAAATTTAAAGCAGATGTTTAAGATGGTTAATGCAGTACATTATGACCAAATAAAATTTTCCAGTTTTTTTAGTCTAATGTTTCCTCAAAATTTTGAACTTTAAATCAAAATTATTTACAATATTAAGCAGAAAGATTTGAAGAGAAAAATATGAATTGTAGTTATATTTCCAAAAAAAATCATTAACTTATTACTCGAATTAAACCAAGAGAATGAAAACTAGTATAAAAACCTTAAATGTATGAAAACAGTACTGAAAACTTCAATTTTTTAATTTTGAGAACAAAGTTTTATTTTTAAAATATCCATATTTTGGAAATTTACTTTTTTTAAAATGCTAGAAAATAAGTTTAGCAGTGTCTTTCCAATTTAAAAAAACTTTTTTTTTTTTTTTACTTTTACTTTATAGTATTATGCCATTTATCATTCAAGAGACCTGGTAAGTATTGTCACGGCCAAAAATTTCAGATCTTTCACTTTCCATGTGGTATTTCTGAAGTGTTACCAAATGATATATTTATTTTTTCAATTTGAAAATATTTATAAATTGAGAAATTTAATGGAAGTAAATATAGTTCTTAATAATTTAGATTTTTTTAAATACACTATTCAATATAATTTAAAATTCATTTAGTTTATAATTTATTCAAATGATAATTATGAAGATTTGAAGCATTGTTGCAATTACTATTAACAAGTTACTTATCAGGATTCCCACTGAAATTCACCTTTTGATTTCACACGGTTTCCAAATGTAATAAAAACTCATTAAATTAAGTATGAGTTATTAAATAATTTTACATTTTTAATGCAAAATACAATGCAGCAAGTTAAGAAGAGTATGAAAATTTATCTTACATATTACTGCAAAGGTAATAAAAGGAATTTATAAAGAAAATACCCATATTAACCATTGGAGGGGGGAAGGAAAAAAGAGACATGCTTATTGAAAGAAATGACAAATTTGTTCATTTTGAAAAGAAACTTATAACAGCACACTTTTCATATACAAACAGATACTCTTTCGGAGTTTATGGAATTAATTTGACTGAAGTGAAAAATGTGGTTAATGTAGTTAATAATTGTAATGTATAATAACTCAGTGCAATGCCACCCAGATGTTATAGTGGTTAAGAGAGCATAACCACTAACCTACTACAGTACTGAAGGGACCTGTTTCAAATCATGAAGAATGTATGCATATTTGTAAATGTACAGTGTCTTTGCATCTTGCACGTGCACTCTAAATATACAACAACACAATGTAATGTCTTCTAAACTACTATTTACTTTTTATGAGTAATACTTCTGAAGACAGTGAATAATTATGTTTAGAGAGAGAAGAGATGAACAATTCACAGAATTACATAATAATAAAATTATATAATATAGGTGGTTAAATAGTTTCTGAAATCAAACAGAGGTTATATAATCATTCTTCATTCACTTTTTTTTTGTGAGAAGCAATTTTTTTATTGCATATTATTTAAAATGTGATTAGTTGAAGGAACCAAAATGCACATGTTTTAATTTCCATGCCTTTAAATAAAATGTCCTGATTTTCCACAACTTCCTAAGCGAATGAATAGGAATGCTGTTAATATCCATATTATATATTTGGTAATAAAACCATCAGCTTTATTCTCTCACCAATAGTTATTTCAGGCTTATTTACATACCGATTAATAAAATTTTGTCTCATTATTTATCATAATTTTAAATTTATAAATAAATATCTAACATACCCCTTTATGTTCAAGAAACACAGAATGCTCCAAAATTTCTGTAGCAGACATACGATTCTCTGGTTTTCTTTGTACCATATTCTGTACCAATTGAGACTGCAATAAATTTTAACCAAAATTACAAGAATGTAAAGTTAAAAAAATCAAGATCATAAAACTATCAAATAAAGATTTTAATTATTATACTATAAATCAATATATACATATAATATTCCAGCCAAAGCTGATGCCAACTGCTTTGGAGCATGTTTATTAGATAGCATCTCAAGTCACTTTCCGAACATCAATTATACAGTGGATTTACTTAGAAAAACAGTCAAATGTTGAAATGCATAGTGTGATAGGATTTTCAAATCTAGCTATCACCAGGTAAAATTTATTAACGATCCTTGCTAATGTTATGACATGAAAGAAGGCATTTTGGTGCATCTCAATAGATACTAGTAGGGCAGCCATGCTAGGATAGTAATGATCTAAATTGGATTGAAAATGATTAAAAGAATCTATGCCTTTGACTTTGAGGTACTGCAAATTACTAATTGAATGGAAACAGTTCATAAGCAGCTTGTATATGAAAGCATGTAAAACAGAACTCATACATGATTACAAAGCTATTAATTTGATGCAGTACCATGAAGAAGATGTGCAATTTCTGCAGTATAACTATTTGAGAAATAATTTAATTTCAAGATCTGGAAACACGGATGCATTGGTGGAACATTATAGATCCATGACATAGAAATAAATGTGTTTTCTTAGACCTTCCCAAAATAACTCCATCAGGAAAGAAGAGCTTTTTTTATTATTATTATTTATTTTATTATAAGGACATGCTTTTTATAACTTTTCTAACCAAGAGACAGACAATGAATTCTGGCCTTTACTGGGACATACTGCTATATATATATATATATCGCATTATATTACTACATAACACTAGGCCATATTTGACCAATAGCTTGTATGTATTGTTATGGTGAGAGAGAATGTCTTTTTATACAGCCTTTGAACTGGTCCCCAGAGATTTTCATGTATTTGGACATCTACTGCAGCAACAAAAACATTTCAGAATAGATTATTTACAATTATCACATCAAACAAAACCTAGCAACAAAAACTAGATATTTACTAATCATGAATAATACATGGTCACTCATCATTTTTACTTCATAGCTGACTATGATATTTAGCTTTGAAATTTTCATAGTTCTTCTTCAAATGTAAAAGACATAAATATGTAGCAAAAAAAGGTAAACAAGCTTTTATATCATTAGAAACATAATATTTCTTTTGATATAAATTTGATTCATATAAATGCCTCATTTTCCATGGTTAAACAAAAAAGAAATTTTCAAGGCACTTTGGCAATTAAAGTTCATCCCATTTAAATTTAGAATAAACTTTATGTTAAATTATCTTCTATATATCACTAATTAAATAATTTCATATTTAAAAAAAAGGCAATTAAATGTATCTTACAAGTCCTGGCCATTTTTCTGACATTTCTGATGGTAATTCCCCTTTAAGAACTTTTTCAATGACTCTTTGATGTTCCATTTTAGTTTTAAGCACAAGAAGTAATTCAATTAAGATGATTCCCAAGCTATATATGTCAACCTGAGAATGAATTTAAAATAAGCAACTTTGTACATTAGAAAATAGATAATATGTACTGTAAAAATTCTTTTCTACATTTATCTTTAAGTAAACTTATGCACTACATAAAATATTTCTTAAAATAACAGTCAGATATATTATATATATATATATATATAGACAGAAACTTAATATTCATTCCATTAAATTAAGATACATGCAGTTTCTATAAATATCAGTCCTGTAATTAACAAGTTCCTATTTCAATCTAGTTTCTATTATATGATACTTTATTTTAAACAGAAAATACATAACATTGTTATCACAAATGAATTACATTAAAACTTTTTTGGAAGTTCCAAGAAAGATTCTCAGGAAGATATTCTCAGAAAGAAATAATTCACAATTTATATAACTATCAAGTATTTCAAAGGATTAAAAGTCACAGAATCTGCACATTGTAATAAGACAACAAAGCTTCCAGAGGCAAAAATAACTAACTAAATAAAAAGTTTTGTTCACATCAAAATGTTAATAATGAAATGTTTGAAGAAGCGAAGCTATACTGGAAAAAAGAGGTTATATGAGGCATGTCCGTTTAACAGAGATATTCCAATTCAATTTTGTTACTGAATTTGGCAAGAAATCACCAAAAGTCACCAAACTTGGTGATTATTTTGCAACATTTGGGTTAGGTCCCTACATAACTGTAACTGATACTGAAGTTGAATAGCTATAATCCATTCCTAAAAGTAGCTGTAGCTATACCTGAGCCATATATGTAATTTTAATTATATATGCCTCTATACACTACCTGACATCGAAAATGCAACACTAAGAACGAGTGGCCTAAAAATTTTGCAAATTTCAGGGTAGATGCAAGTCACTCAGTTATGTGAATGATGTGCAGCTCTCCAGCACATGTTTAAAAAGATAATAAGGGAAGGAACATGCAGAATGTTCAATTTTCATGCCGTTATTTCTGCTAGGGAAATCCTCATAGAAAATTTGTTCTTGTCTCAGAGGTCGCATGTGATAGCAGAGAAAGCCAGGCCATTGTCAATGGCGGCAGTTCAAGTAGGCAGACGATTTTACAAGGGGTATGGTGATAGAACTGAGAAGGACAGGTTAGTCCATACGGCAAATCTCAGCTGGCACACACCTGAACACGTGCCCACTGCATCAGTTACAGAATCGATGCATCCTCCGACAAGCGTTATGCGCACCCACAATCTACTTCTACTTCCATTCTGCAGCATGTTCAAGACACCCTGGATGTTCCCACATTGACTAGAACCATTTTACGTCAATTGCTGGCTAATGGTCTTCACTTGTAGCATCCATTAAGAAGACTGCCACTGACTCTACATCATAGACGGCAATGCCTGCAATGGTATCGGCCTTCAGCGACATGGACAACGGAATGCCACAGGATCGTGTTCTCAGATGAGTCATGTTTCTGTTTCTCCAATGATAGCTGCTGCGTTAGAACGTGGTGTCGATGTGGAGACAGGTTCAATCCAGCAATCGTGGAATGTCCCACCGCATGACAATGTGGCATCCTGGTTTGGAGCATGATTGCGTATGATTCCAGGTCACCTGTATTTCGTATTCAAAGCACTATGATGGCCCAATGATGTGTGGATGATGTGCTATGGCTGGTGGCACTCCCCTACCTTCAGGGGGTGCCCAATACCCTTTATCAGCAGGATAATGCCCGACCACACACTCCTTGCATCAGCCAATATGCTCTGCAAGGTTAACAGATGCTTCTCTGGCCACTGTTCTTTCCCTGTCTTTCACACCTCAAACACATTTGGAAGGCGATTGGATGGCATTTGCAGACCGTGCCATTGTTACATTCATAAGATGAACTGAGGCAAATGGTTGAGAGGAAATGGTGAGTCACACCTCAGGACACCACCTGTAGCCTCACTGACTCTGTACCTAGACATGCTGCTTTATATATCGCCGTCCAGTATGGTCCTATGCTTGTTTACCTCTGTTAAACATCAGGCACCCCTGTTCTCTATCACCAACCAACCAACTTACTGAACTGATGCTGTTCTTGCATATCAAGCTCTTGTATATCTATGCATATCATTTCAAAATAAAGATCACTTACTGTTCATTGCTCTCTCTCTCTCTCTCTCTCTGTTTGTCAAGTTTCATCACTTTCTGGACACTCCTGCTTGGTGTTGCATTTTCAATGTCAGGTAGTGTAAGACTGGAAACAGCATCACTTCTCAGGTTTTAGTTCAGAAAGTACCGAGATCTCCATGACAGCCTGTGATTTCATAGTTTCTTTCTTTCTTTTTCTCTTCCTTCTTAGGGCAAATTTTGTGCTTCAAAAAACTGAAAAACTGCATGCAATACTTTAGAGAACAGTCATACTGCTGAAAATAAAGTTTGCTATTTATTTTGACAAAATGTGCTTTTTTTTCTTCCCCCCTTTGGGTTATTTATTCAATTAACTGCTCAAAGCAAATAAAGCTAGCTTTGAGACAGGACAGAGGGGAAAACTTTTAAGATGAAATAAATGCCATTACAATAATTAAAAAATTAAAATCTCATTATGTTACTGACTTTAGAATTATATCTGCTTTGTTTCTGTTGTTCGGGTGCTGCATATGGAGCAGTACCAAGGTTTGCACTATATTTGGTAGAAGAAACACCACTTGTTTCATCTGATGAGCATTCAGCAAGAGTTGCTAGTCCAAAATCGCCAATTTTCATACTATTACTTTTTTTTGAGAAGAATATATTTTGAGGCTGGAAAAGAAAATTACATATAAGTGAAAATATGATTCATTTCTTAGAATGGATACAGATTATTTAACAATAGCTAATCCATATATTATTTCTCAATATATCATTAGAAATATAATTACTAAAATTTTTTAATTCTGTACTACCTGAAATGAGTAAATTAAATTAATACTTTCAGACTTGAAAGGCGGGGGAAACATAATTTTCATTCTTTCTTGGTCGGATTTCAAATTTAAGTTACAGCTTTCATTATCAGTATAGGTATGTATTATTTACATATTTTATCAAAATCACAAAAATGAACAATTAAGAATATTAAACCCATCTAAAGGAAATAATCTGTAAACAAAGGGAAGTTACACTAAACACAGACTGGAAGGGGGGGATTTAAATTATAAATTTGTTTGAGACAAAGAACTTTCAATTACAAAACATTTAATTCCTCAGTTATGTAAAAATCAGATATCTTTTAAAATGCTTAGATTATGAATTATTGATTGTAATATGCAATATAGTAAAAAAATACAGCAATTACAAACTAACACTAAAGTATTAAAAAAGCATACTTTTAAGTCTCTGTGAATAATAGATTTGGAATGAATATGGGCAACTCCATTTAAAATATCTTTAAAAATATCTATAACATCTTTCTGGAAGGGTAGTTCTTGACCTATAAAGTATAGAGATTTGAAATATAAGAACTGACTGAGAAAAACAAAGTAAAAAACATGCATTTCAACTGTATTATTAAGGTAGTACAGGCAAAACATATGAGATGACAAAAATTATATGAAAAAACTGTTAACAGAGGAAAATATTTAGGATTCATGCCAAAAATTAGACAATCTTTAGGAATTTAGGATATCTGCAACTTTTCATGCAGCAGATATTCTTAGCTCAAAACAGTTGAGGCGAGAGTCATGAAGAGAAATAAAATATCTTTCAAGCATGTTCAACATGGGCTCGATCAAGTCAGATGATCATACTCTGCACTTCATTTGTAATTCTAAGTACTGGCACCAGAGTAAGTGTGCGTCATTGGGGGGGGGAATCAAGAACTATGGTTGTAAAAAAAAAAGGCAAAACACACTGAGCAAAAATGTGACCATACAAGAATGTGAATACTGAGCAAGAATGTGAGAGCGTTCTGGGTGTGGATATTACTACCAGAGTTCCGGATGTTTTGCATACCCAAAACCATTGATGATCAGTCTGCAGACTGCACTATGAATCCCTGGTAAAGAACAAAACACTCCATTGTTGTTGAATCCAGCTGAGGGAATCTTGAGACTAATTTAAATATGTCGCTTGTGTGAATCAATAGAATGAAAAACACTAATTACCTTGCATATAGCCACTGCCACTTATAAAGAGTTAACATAGGTATAGCTCTCCTTGCCAATGTTAGAAGGTTAGAAACAAGTTAATATGCCGTGACTGACCTGTGATACCATGATTGCAGATGCCAAAAGCAGTCATCCTGAGAAGGTGCGATTCTTGGACATTTAGTCTTCATGATATATCTGCTTTACTTTGTTACTGATTCTACAGGTGCACACGATAGAATAAGTGACATATAAAGCTTGGATTAGACTTCACTTTTTCACTAATCCTTGTAAGATATCTTGTTATCTTTCATATTCTCACACCACTCAGGTGACATAATCTACCCATTTTTCAAAATTTGGGTATTTAAAATATCCAATTGAAGTCTAAAAGGCAAGGCTTTGCACAAGACAATTCTCCCGCTCCCCTTTCCTCTGCAAGCTAGTTTTCATACGTATGCAAATTTTATGACTACATGCTATTTCGTTCATAGAATATGCAAGTTTTCTATTTGTTGCTTAAACTCTGGACATCAGGGAACCTTGGAGGATAATAGATTGTTTCTCTGAGCAACACTTGTTATAACTTAATTTGAAATTTCAAGAATTCGTTTTTTGGATTAATAGAACAAATGCAGGAAAATGTAGTAACCTCAAACAAAAGTTCAGGCAGCATAATAATCTGACTTGGGAAAGGGCTTATAATTAAAAGAATAGTTCCTAAATTCGAAATCCTCCTAAAAAAATTGTATGTGGGTGGGGGTGGAAGAGAAATCTTAAATAAATGTGGACAATAATTTAGGTTTCTAAATAGTAATTTAATAAATTAAATGAGTTTCTGAATACTCTACTGTTACATTTAACACATAAAATAAATTTCTAAATATTCTACTGCCACATAAGTACATAAATGACAAGATTAAACAAAACTCATTTGTGCCACACCATGCTGAAATTTTTATACATCATATTTTTTACACAGACTAATAAATATGTGAACACCAAGTTCATTCTTTTCACATGCCTGATTCTAGCTATATTTCATTGATAAAACCATCAGGGATATTTAGAACCAATCTAAGAAGGACCAGAGCATGGTTACTGAATTCCTAGCAGTACAAGGACATAGACCAATTGTCCTTCATACAGTATGCAGGTAAACTTTGATGACACATTTACAGGAAAGTCAACAGTGGGAGTGAATATTTCAGAAAGCATGGAAGAATTTCTGCAGCTGGGCCAGAACTAAGTGGCTGTGACAGGCAACTGTTTACTGCGATCACAGTAAGAATATGCATTAGATTATCCTGAAGTTTTAGCCAGTCAATAGAGGAATATGTTATGTCTTCTGGAAAATTTCAGCTGACTGTTACATGGAAACTGAAAAGCAAGTTCATAAAGGAGTCTCACAAATGCTTATAATGACCAATCAATATATAGAAGAATATATGGCTGATTCATTACTGTGTGATGAAGCAGAGGGCACAATAATTCTGTTATACATGGTGGCAGGCAACAAAACAGTTTTATTTTCAGCCATTTGTAAAACAAGAAAGAAATTAAAATATTTTAATTCAACAAAATCCCCAAAATTCAAGTCATAAGTTGGAGCTGATAAAATTATGCTCATTGCATTTTTTTACCATTAAGAGCTTTTGTTGGCCGAATTTAAAAAGGCTAAACTGAATACCAGTACTAAGTGTTACAACACCACACAGAAAAGCAACATTTTGCCAACCAGAATAACTGACCTATCATGCATTCATGTAACATAATAATGGTTATTTATATGTTATGAATACTATGCAGAATGTGTTAACACAGAAAAATGGGAGGTTCAGTTTAATTCAGCCTATATCCTCAATTTGTCAGCATGGGAGTTTCATTTGTTAAATGATTCAAGAAGCTATTAAAATTCTTCATGGATGATATCTGCCATCTCCCTAATCTGTGAAACTCAAAACTGAATGCTTAAGGCAATTTCTAGTGATTCATGCACATTCTTGCCTCCTCCTACAGGGTAATACAAAGCTTCCTGACATATTTCAAACAATTATAGGTAATATATAAAAATTGAAAAAAGAAAAAAAAAAAAAAAAAAAAAAAGAAAAAAAAGAAAAAAAAGGGGGTCCATTAATGTACTGTTAAAGAATTTCTGGAAACACTGTACATGAACCTCTGCAGTCTTCATCAACAGTCTTAACCCTTTCCACTCCTTAACGTTTTTTTTTCTTACTAATCAACAACTCTTTAATTCATTTAAAAAATAGATAAAAAAAGAGGGTCTTAATAAAAGGTTGTATTGCAACAGCACAGAGTGTGTAACATACACTTTTTTAATTATATTAAATAGTAGGATAGTAAATAAATATAAATTTATATATTTAACCAATTTATTTACCTTAATTATTTATGATTTTTCAAAGTATGACATTTTTTAAAACATTCTTCTGGATAAAGACTGGGTTTTCTATCACAAGTATCACAATAGAATGTTTTCTTTTCTCCCTCCTTTGACCTTTTGGTTGGAACACACCATACAGTCATTGTGTTTTTTATGAGAAAAAATGAAATGTGTCTTCCCATCTGAACATTAGATAGTATCTATCATCTGTGGATAATCGGTCGGGTTTTTTTTTTTTTTTTTTTTTTTTTGTGTGTGTGTGTAGGAGCACAAAAGTCTTTGATTAGACTCATCAATAAATTTTCTCTATAATCTGATAGCCGGTTTGTTTACTTCTTTTTCACTAGCATTTTCAGTCGTCTTTAATCTTTTTCTTGCAGGTTGTGAAACAGAAGATTGTTTTGTACTAAACACTGTGACCACTCTTTTGTCATGCCATGTTACTAACGTTTTCCCTTTTCTATGAGCGATTTTATGTCCAACAGCTAATTTTTTTTTTTTTTTTTTTTTTTTTTTTTGTTTTGTTCTGGCAATCCTTTCATAATTGTTCCAGTAAGAATGCAATTGGGGTTTAGAAGTTCTGCACCTAAAGAGGGGTTTGTACAGTCAAAACTCTTTAATCCGGACGTCCATAATCCAGAATGATCTATAATCCAGACCTCAAAGCTACAAACTTCCTGCGCATGCGTAAACGCATAATACCTTTACGCATGCGCATATGTGTTTATGCATGCGCGTTTACTGTATAACGGACGGTATAAGCTAAGCTAAAATTATCTATTTCAGTTAATGTTGCAGATTGTGTTGTTCCTTAATCTTCTAATTGGATGCGGCTTATTATTTTTTGCAGACTGTTAGAGCAGTTTTATAAAAGTAAGCTGGAACTTTCGATTATGTCAAAAAAAATTTCCGATTCTGAAGCTGCCGAAGGATATACAAAGCGAAAGCATATTTCCATGTCCATCAAATAAAAAGTGGAATTGCAGCAAAAAATGGATAAAGGCATGAAGAAAGTGACAGAGGTGATTTGTTTCTCTAACAATTCCAAAATCTGTTTATCAATTTCACGCTGCTGTGCGGAGGGGGGGGGGACGTCGCCGCACGCAATGAACTGGAAGTTGATCTGTCAGCACTATCCTTATCTTCAGGGCAGATAATTTTATTTTATTCGGCTTATAATTCCTTACTGAATGTAGTATTTCATCTCATTGTACTCCGTCTTTGATATGATTTAAATCAAATTCCTTGTCATTATAAATATCACGAATACACATCAAATAATTTTCTGGTTGCAATTTTTTAATTTTGACTATGCGTAATGTATGCTTTATGCATGCACGCATTAAAAGAAATGTTTAATAAAGTAAACAAATAAATATTAAGCTTTTTTTTTTTTTTTTTTTTTTTTTTTTTTTGTAAATTTTGATACCTTTTAGATCATAATTGCTCTTTTACTTCATAAATTACGGTTTCATATTTTTAATTTTATAATTTCTGCACGCCATCTTACCAGATTTAAACTGATGATCTATAATCCGAAAAAACCGATAACCCAAAATCACCGAAGTCCCGACGAGTCCGGATTAAAGACTTTTGACTGTATAAAATCTGTCAATATAAATATGATAGCCTTTACCTTCAGGAATCGAATTTTGTAAATTTTGATAGAGTTGCACAATTCTGCTAGTGAAATTAAGATCTGGTCTAATTAACCCATCTGTTGTAATTTTACCATAATGTATATAAATAACTTGTCTTAGAATCTGCTAAAACATAAACTCAAAGTTCTCATTTTGTTGGTTTTTTAGGGTTAGAGATCAGAAAGATTATTTTCCCCTTGAACTAGATTGTAGAATCGTTAACTGCCAAATTTTCATGAGGTATATAATTTTCCATAATTTTTTTGTTTAGGCAATCCAGAAAATTGCTCACTCTTTCTATCCTTGTCCTCGTCTTTTGAGTGTTTGGTGAAATTGTTTCCAAATGTAGTGACCAAAATATTAGGAAACAACGTTTGTGGGAAAAAATGTTTCTAAAAAATGACATCTTCAAACGAAATGTTTGAGAACAGTATGATTATAAAGCTGGCGAACAACAAGGCCCATATTTAAGACGACACTAATAAAGACTCTCATTTCACTCAGTTACATCTTTCCAATTTTACCAAATGGAATATTTGCTCGGTGTTTCTGACATTATTTTTGCTGCGCATGCATTAGTTTTACTAACTATTTCATAGTAGAGTAGGAGCCAAAAACAACTAAAACAATTCTAGAGCTGATGTGCAGCCGGATGGAACTTCTGACCCAACAACATTTTCACCAACTTAGAAATTTATGTTAGGATGATAATTGTCTTTTTCAGTGACATGACCATAATGTTTCATCATTTCCAACAAACTGACTATTATATGTAGAAATAGATGGTTGCTCATTGCTATCCTCATTTACCGCTTATAAGTCGTCATCTTCTTACAATAATTTCTTCGTCAGAATCGGTTTTGGTTTGAAAAGGAACCGAAAACAATAGCTCAGACACTTTTCATATCTGCCAACCTCTAAAGATAAAAATTCAGAAGATTTCTCCCCCAAATTCAGAAGATTTCTCCAAAATTCAGAAGAACACGAAGAATTAATATCATGCTTTGATATTAAAAACATAACAACTTATACAAATAGAAAAAAGAAAATTGTACTTACATTAGTAAATCTCAATTAAGTAGTAACTAAAAAATTTATTAGGAAACATAAAACAAGAACTTAATGTTACACAAAAACATTATTGCAATGAATTTAGAGTGCATTTTTTGGCTTTAGCCAAAAATTCTTTGGAAAATTTCCTGTCATAAAAATTAATTTCCTCATAACATTTAGCAATTAAAATGTTTTCTAGAGTTTTTGGTGAAATTGAAGAACGAAACAGTTTTGTTTTTCTTCACAACACTGAAGACTCTCTCGCACTCAGCATTACTCTGTGTGGTTACGAGAATAGCAGATAAACTCTTGCTAGTCTATCATATTTTGGGTATTCCATCAGCTCTTTTTATTCTTTTTAAGGTACCAACGAGGACACCAAGTCTATCTTCTCCAGAACTGGCAAGTCTTCAAACTGGGCAGCAGAAAATTGGTTCTGTAGTTCATCTAAAGCATCATTATGGCATTCATTTTCTTAATTGTTAACCAAAATGGGAAATTTATCAATAAAAAACGAATCTTTTCAAAAGATGAATTTTCAATTTGTTTCAAATTTGCCACTTCAGCATTTAAAAGAACTTCATTTTGCAAAGGAAACTTCCTTACAATGTAATCACAGGCTGAGGAAAAGTACTTTCTAACACATTGAAAAAATTCTTTTTTCTCATGATCTTTCAAAGAATTTACAAGTTCCCACAAACTTGTAAATTCTTGCGCCCACAAAGAAAAGAGTGGGAGAAACAAGTTTAGCGCATTGGATTGGCTGGTTGAGCGGCGAGTTGGGAGAAACCGCAGGTTACTGGATTCGAAGTAGTCAGCAGTTGGCGGTAAAACACAATGCAATTGGCAAAAATCGCTGAATTGGCAAAAAATTCTAAAATTTCGACAAAAATCACTAAAAACACTTGAAAAAGAAAAAAAATCATAAAAAATGGATTACGATCGTAAAATCGTAAAGACAAACGCATTTTCGTAAAAATTATGAAAAATTCGTAAAAGTTGGCAGGTATGACTTTTGTAAAATTTATATCATCTTATAATAATTTAAGTTCATTATCTATTTGAATCATACATTCGTCATCACTACTTTCATATTCATTGGTGAATGCTTGTTTTCTCTTGATTCGAGGCATTTATATTTTTATACTTATATGCACATAAAATAAATATAACAGTTCAATTATTATTATTTTAATTAAAACATATGTTTTTATGTAAACAAAATATCAAAGATGACAAAAATATGATTTTTCTGTAAAGCGTCAGGAACTTGCTTTCCTGAAGACAGCACTACTGTGACAAGGTCACGCAGATGTTTGTTATCTTGCCCTCCAAGGATATAGTTCTCAGACAAAGGGACTCTTACACGGGGCTTGGAATGTGATTTGGAGACTGCAACTATACCTGTTTCTTACCCAAGGGGATATTCTCCCTATGATTCAGTATATGACAAGCGATGGGGAGTTGAGGTTTGGACATTGTGAAGGGAGGTTGTTTCAAGACAGCGTAGCCGAATACCCGAGTGAGTGTGTATGGGAGTTTAAAATTATCGTCTGTACGTTCAACGAGCTGACATTTCCAAGGTAGAAGACTGTATGTTCACCGCGAATATTGGAAGTAGCATTGTTCTGCTTGGAGTATTTTGTCGTGCTAGGAAATTTAGCATGGACTAATCTTTCCGAATATGTTGTTGTTTTAGCACAGAACATTTGTAACTGTTTAGAAGTACTATTGGATTAAGTGCTATTCACATACCAGATTGATGTAATCTTAACTTCTTACATTTATATTTTTATTAAAATTCTCGCTATTTTTTATAACTTGAGTTTGGAGTTATTTCAACCCTGAAATACAACAGAGGCTTTGGGTAACATGTTCAACCACTACCCCACACTAAAAATGACTCTTTTGATCCTAATGTTAAAATAATACTAAAAAGAATAAAAAATAATATAAATTGGTCAAATATGATAAATTTAGTCTTTATTTACATAGTACAAAAAATTTTAAGGAGGGGGGGGGGAGGAATCAGTTTTAAACATTTTCAATATTTTTAGAAATTACCATGTATAAGGTCGAGTCTAGCTCAACAAAGGAGTTGGTGTAAGAAACATGATGTCAAGCCACATTCGACATAGGAGTTCTAAGGGTTAACTTTTATCAGTAATAGATTAAGTGTTTGAATAGTCACAATTTACCTCTACAGTACATGGTCTTTCAGGAACCCCTCCCCCCACATACAAAAGAAAAATCTGTACACTAAGGCTGTACTGCACTTCTGCCTCAGATTTAGTTTTTGCAGTAATTAGAAGCACCAGGATGTAAGTGCTATACACTCCAGTGCCAAGTTGTTCGGATAAATGAAATAGCATCCTCTCCTCTACTGTTCCACATTTTATCAGCCATGATAAAATGTGCAATATTTAAATTTGAAATATACCAATTGCCTCTGTCACTTAGTATAATTTTTTGCTCAATTGTGTCACATTTGCTGATGTACCTTCTAATGCACTTTGAACCTTGATGAAGACAGTCAACTGGGTTTCATTTGGCCAAATTTTAAAATTCTTTTACATATTACCTACTTTCCTGAGATCTTCATACTGATGTAAGTATATAACCGTATTTTTAGAGTATACTTGCAAGGCTATTTTAATTAATAAAATTTAGTTATTTTTGTCTTTGAAATAGCAATTAAAATGTATTTTCTTGTTTTAATTCTTCATAGTGCTTATGAGAGATTCTTCTCCCCCCCCCAGAAAAATAGTCTTACCTTAAAAATCTCATCATTTAATAATAATGCTTTTTTTTTGTTATTTTTGTAAAACTGAAATAACAAATACTGTATTAGACTTTGATAAAGTCTAGCATACACATTTAAACTTTTAACTACATCTAAGATCATAAACAAAGTGGCCTGTTTTAACATTCACATTTAAATTCCATATAAACTTACCTTCTGCCCTGTATTCTAACCAAAGCCTAAGATCACAATCACAATATTCCATCTGTATACACAACATCACTTTTACTTTCTATGTAAAAGAAAAATTGGAGAAAAACGAAGATTTGAAAAATTATATAAAATATTGTATAGTAAAAATCATCTAATATAAATGGGACTGAATGGGGATTGGATACCACAGAACTACCAAAGTTTGCTTTTTAAAATAAATCATCTGACCAAACACATATTATTACAAATATGAATAAAACAAAAAGATACAGTACGAAGTCTGTAATCCGGACGTCCATTATACGGAATGATCTATAATCCGGACGTCCATTACCCGGAATGATCTATAATCCGGACGTCCATTACCCGGAATGATCTATAATCCGGACCTCACAGCCACAAACTTTATGCATGCGTGGAGAAAATGTGCATACATTACGGATGCGCGTAATGTATGCTTTATGCATGGGCGCGTTGAAAGGTTTAATAAAGTAAACAAATAAATATTAAGCTTATTGTTGGTCCGAAAATCACACTTTCAATTTTTCTGCTGCCAAAATTATTCAAAAAACATCTTCCATTGGAGAACTGGATTTTCTAGAGGCATTTCACATTCATAAAAATCTTTCTGTTTTAGTTAACGATCCTAATTCCAATCCAAATTTGCCTTCGGCTTTTAGAGAAATTATGTTTTAGTTCTGGTTTCGCCAACAGATGGCGCCACTTGCTTATTCTTGTCCAGGCTTTCTTATCTTATCTAAACATTATTTCCTATCTTGTTCATTTGCGGTTTTGCAGCTGAAGATGATGGTTCGGTAAAACCATCGAAACTAGTCCTGTGAAAATTTTGTGAATTAACGCTGATTTTTGTTGTTTGACTTCTGAATCAAATTCAGGTATTTCAATTTCGTGATGGTATGTCATCATACTGCTAGAATTAATGTCAGGATTATACAGAGAAACTTTCCTGAAATTTGAAGGTTTTATTTACTAATAAATAATCAATAAATTTAGAGAGAAGAAGCAACATTAAATGACATAAATAAGATTAAAATTAAGATAATTATTTAAAAATTGAATTGGAATAATCAACGATATTTTGGCAAATATAGTTACATTAAATGGTTAGCCTAGGTGACTATTTACGTACTATTTTTTATTTTACTGCAAAATGACAAATAAGGCATTTATTAAAAAAAAAAGGGGAGGGTTAAAAAGATTTTGCGGTAAAATCCTAGTATACGCTGCGGCCTTGGCATGATTTTGAAAATTGTCGCCAACACCAATATGACCCGTTTATTGCTCATCATAATATCCCCAAATCCCGTGTATACGGTACATGGAGGCTATTCTAACCTCCATGTTGCCCTATACTAGGATTAAACCAGTTTTATTTTATACGAGAATACGTATTTTCCTCAATTCAACATGCACTGCATATGCGCATGGGAGTCTCTCGATACTAGAGGTTACTGGAAACCAAAAGTTGCTGGCCTTTCTTTCAAGACAATCTGATTGGAGCAGCGAAAATTTGGCTCTATGCCAGCTGACTGAATGATGCTTATGCGATACACAATTCGCCTAGAAAGTGATCTGTTCCAACATCGGCGCAAAACTCACTTTTTTCCGGGGAATATCCGTATGAAATTCCCTGACTTTTTTGGTCAATTTTCAAATTCCCTGACTTTTTATGGTTTTCCAGGTAGCATGGCAATCCTGCCTTTAAATCATAATTGCTCTATTTCATAAATTACGGTTTCATATTTTTAATTGTATAATTTCTGCATGCCATCTTACCAGATTTAAATTGATGATCTAGAATCCGGAAAAATCCCTAATCCGGAATTGCCGAAGTCCAGACGAGTCCGGATTACAGACTTTTTACTCTATACAATTACAATAAAATTATTTTATTAGAAAACAAAGTTTACTGTAATATAAAGTAGAAGACCAAAAACTTATGCAAAATGAGATCTGAAGTTAAGCAGATTTTAGTCATAAAAGAAAATATTATTAGATTTAGACTAAAGAAAGAACAAAATTAAAAGAAGCATATAAAAGTTATCACTTTTTCATCTTTTTTACAGCATATATAAATTATGATTTAATAAATACTTATTATATTTTTATACATAAAATGAAAATGGGTAAAAAGCTTATGAAATTAATTTAGCATTTTTCAAACATCTTTAACATTAGTTTAATTTAAAACAGTATGTTTTAGTCTGAGTCCTCTTTTCATCAAATTACACTTACCTGTTGCTTTCTGATTTTGTTGATCTAATTTTTATTCTTCACTCATTCTCACAGGAAAACAAAAGGCAATAATCTAGCCATTATAAAATTAAAAATTTCTAATAATTTTGACCCAAGCATTGTAAATATTGGTAAGCATAAATGTAGCCTGAAATAGAAACTCCAACTACTCAAAAATTTCATCACGGTATCTGAATACTTTTAATATGTATAATTCCTTTTCCGGAAAGAATTTAATGACTGTTCATTTTTCATAGCCAAACTCTAAAATCTCTCTTGATTTCTTCATCAGTAAAATGCATCTAGATCAAAACATGTGGTGTCACAACCTTTAACAATTCATGGTCTAGCATGCAGTTGTCACATTTTGCTACTGTTGCATTAATCGAATATTATCAAAACTGAATACTGCAATCTTTCTTGAATGAAAGACTGAATCCTCAGTTATAAGCAAAATCTATAAAATTGATTACTGATAGAATACAGTAGCTTGCTTTAATACTGTAAGCATGATTGACACTAATAATACACAAATGTCTCCTAAAATCTTGCCTTCAAACTAAAAAGAGCTAAAAAGCAACAGTGAAATCCATCTGCCTTTCATTGTTGATATTTGAAAAGCTGTGTGGATTTCAGGTATTTGCAAACTGTAGGTCTTCTATGGGTCTTAAAGAAAGAGATATTTAGTATTCTGTAAAAACAAATTTACTGAATTTAATTTATTCTCCTTAAAAATATGCTTTGCTTTCTAGCAATATTCCACTTCGGTTTGGCTAGATCTCACCAATAATGAAGCAAGAAGACACCATTGATTGTTACAGTCTTTTTCTGAAAATAAGACATCCTCTGAAAATAAGCCCTATCATGATTTTCGGAACTTTTTGTAAAATAAGACATCCTCCGAAAATAAGCCCTATCGTGATTTTCGGAACTTTTTGTAAAACAAGACATCCCCAGAAAATAATGTCTAGTTAAAATAATGCAACAAAAAGAATTCGTTAAAAAATGCTGTTGATTTATTTAGTTTTCCTAATACCCGTATTTCAGAGAAATGTTTAAAACAAAATATTCCGAGAAATTAATTGTTTACCTCTACAGTTCGTTTCAAATTAATTCTTGGAATTTATCTTAACCAGTTCAGCGTTTGCCCCCGAGAGATACGTTCACAGGAAAGGCATCGTCATCCGTTAGCATCGGCAGACTCTCGTCGGGGTGAAATTTGCGCTGAACCGTAACCCCCTAGACACATATTTTCTTGCTGAGAGGAAGATTGATCAAATAATGGTTCCGGCAGGAATGACTGGTTACCTCCAGACACTTGACATTGCAATAAACAAGCCATTCAAGGATCATTGGCGAATGGAAATCAATGAATATATTGAAAACAGAATGGTGAGAAATCATCGAGGTAATTTTGTAAAACTAGGCTTACATGAAGTTGTGAATTGGGTAAAAAATTCATTTGACAAAATAACGGATAGTGATGTTTCCAATGCACTACGAACAGGCTACTTATACAGGAAGTATTCATTTAAAGATAGCTATATTGCAAGACATGAGAGATTCGGACCAATGATTCAACAGGAAATGTATTTGGAAGAAAATCAGAATATAATTGAGAATTTTATTTATCATGATGTTCCAGAAGAAGATGACATGATTGTAATTGAATAAATTTAAATTTCTGTATTCTGTGTAAAATAAATATTAAATATACTTTTATTTTTGCCCTCCGAAAATAAGCCCTAGCGCGTATTTTGGATAAAAAAAGAAAGTAAGACAGTGTCTTATTTTCGGAAAAAGACGGGACTTTGATTTGCTGTTTCATGTATGTTATTTTGCTGTGGTTTAACTATAATGTGTAAGAACTGCTGTTTTAAGAATTATGGCTTACTTACAAGGGAGATCTATCATCCTTGAACTGTATGACCAAATATTAGTGTCTAAATGCTATAGATTAGCCAAAGAATTACGTAAATTATAATATTAAGTAATCTTAAAGAATTCTAAAATGCTATTTTATAATAGTAAGTAATCTTAAAGAATTCTAAAATGCTATTTTCTAAGTTCCCAAATAATAAATTATTGGAGTGAAAATATATAATACATGAATAGATATGATCAGAATTTTGATTTGCATGCATTTATTTCTTCGTGTATGTGTTTTATTCATTTATATTTTACTTATACAGTACAAAGTCCGAAATCCGGACGTCCAATATCCAGAATGATCTAAAATCCGGACCTCAAAATCACCAACAATGTTTTTCTCGTAGGCTTTACACATGCACATTTGATTCCCCCCTCTGTGTATAATAAAACATCTGGAGAGTCTCTAGTCCCTATTCTTAATTTCACTTTGACACTAAATAAAATACCTTGTTATTGAAGAAACAATCATTTTAGCATAAATTTGTACGATGAGTAATTTGGCTCCATTACTGCGTATCTGCTTGGCACACATCTCAAACCCAAACATTCCACATATATACATCATTGATCTGATGCCAACCTGGCAAATCATTATTTATTATACTTTCCTTTCATCACCGCATGCTTATCAACACATGACAACTTGAGTAATGACTCATGTAGCGATGCCTAAACGATTTTTTTATGTTAGTAATTGAATAATAAATGAATATGGTAACCTTTTATGTTGACATTATGCTTGGCAATGCTTACAGATTTAAGTTAAATGCACTAAAAAATGTTGACGAGCAAAAATTTAACAAAAATTTGTTTCCATATGCTAAAAATAAATTTTGTTGATGATACTCATAGATCCAAAGATTACATTTAGGGCTATTTGGATTAAGAATA